TTCACTGTCCAAACGCTGACTGTTGAGTGTCTTCCTGTGGTGGCAGATCCTGTACAACCAGCAGAGCGTGGAGGTGGAGGGAAACCTGAAGAGGAAGCTGATCTCCCAGCTGCAGCCAGACACAGACTACTCCTTCGTACTTACAAGCCGAGGAAACATTGCAGGAGGTCTGCAGCAGCAGGTGTCCATCCGAACTGCCCCCGACCTGATCAAGACTAAACCCAGCACACATCTGGCCGAGGATGGCAAGATGATCATAAACTTACCCCGGGTCCAAACCACCTCACCCGTCAGGTCGGTGACAATATCCACTGCCAATATTTAGCTTTAAATCAGCAGTACATTTTTTAATGAATGAATTTGCTCTTTAAAATTTCATGTTTGGGTTGATCTCAGGGCTCCAGGCTTCTTAAAAACAATCATGATGAAGGAGTGATAACCGATGCAAATTATTTAACAACGACAAAACGCTGATGTTAAGGCTGTTTCTGATCAATACCCAACCTACTTTAAAACACAGCAGCTGATTATAGTGATTTATAATCATATATCATGTAATCACACCCACACCAGGGCATTGGGGTGGATTGGTACAAAATAAATCACAGAGCTGTCAGAGCTGCTGGCCAAGTTCCAGGTCGGATTGACAGCCAGAGAGCATGGGTGAGGGGAGATGAGAGAGTGGAGGTGCGTGTGTGTGTGTGTGTGTGTGCTGGGGTGGGGGGCCGGTCTTGTTATACATTCCCTCCCAATCTCTCAAAGGCCTGACGGACTGTTGAATCACTCAGTACAGGTCTGGAGAAGAAGAGGGAGACGAGCACCTGCCCTCACTGTCAGCTGCAGCTGATCTTACAAGTGCTAGAATGTTGCATTGTGGGGGAAAACTTTGAGCTGAGGGAAGAGAGGCAGCACATAAATAAATACAAACGCACTGCTGTCAACTCCAACAATCATTAGGTATAGAGATGCACAGGTACCAGTACCAGAGTTGGTAAACCTTAATTAGGTATCACCTCTTGAGTTTGATCCAACCCTAGAGTCTTGCCAAAGTCTTTATGTTCCTACTATTTCCAGTCTTCATTATGATAAAAACAGACACGCTGTTGGTCCCTTGGCTGGATCTATTAGCCTGCAGCATCCTATGGGGAGCTCTATTTACTGAAAGCTCCTCTCCCTGGGACGGTGTGTGCTGCAGCCTGCACGGCAGATGTTCTGAGTAATTAGCCATTAACAGGAGAAGACATTGCCAGTCTGCTGGTGTTGACCCTCTTGTGAATTCAATGAAGAGGGGCTATACTAAGAAATGGTTGATTTGATTGTGCTATTTTTTAAGAAAAAGAAAAAATGCTTGGCAAATGTTGATCTTGGCACTTGGTATTTGTCTCTCCTTCCTTGGCAGGTGGTACTACATTGTGGTGGTGCCAGTGTCGCAGCAGCGGTGGAAGAATCCAGACGAGATGGACCTGGAGGAGGTGAGCGCCAGCCGTCAGATGATTGGCTAATGTGCTGGGTCAGGGGTTACCAATAGCATCTCTTTTTTTTCCGACCGGATAGGCAGTCACTGGTTTCAGCTAATTAGTGTTTCCCTCCTGGGCTCAAAGGGATGACAAACAATGACTGGACAGGACTGGACAGATGGGTCTGCAGACAGTAGCAATCTGTTGAATTTAACAGTTGGATGGAAAATGATGTGATTCAAATATAAGCGCCAGTCTTGAGCACATAAACCTAAATTAAATGTTTTAAACAAGCGGTGCTCTGGCTTCATTTTGGGTTTAATACTTACTTTCCAAAAGTTTTCTTTATCATTTTCCGTGAGGGACTTTGAGATAAACGCCTCAACGTTAACAGGATCTTTTCTGAGTGAATTTTTCGGCTCACTTGTTTGTTCAAGCTACTTGGAGAACTCTGAGAGATGGGATTCCCCGAGTCATTAAACAATGAGCCGCACATTCTTTCCCCACTCCGATAAAACAGTTTAATAAAGCACATGTGGAGCAGCACGTGAGACGTTACAGACAGGAAGAAAATACTGCTGGAAACACAATGCCGCAGTGCCGTGTGTTCGTGCTCATTTATTAGGCCGGCTGGCAGTCATGCTGAGATTGTGTGCTGGAGCAAGTGCTAATTGCTCACTTCATAGCCTGGCTGCATTGTTTGCAAAGTTATATTACTGAGCAAAGGGCATTTCAGAGTGTGAAACCATTATCTCTAATTTGGCAGCAGCTATTAATCAATCCTGGTTAAGAGTTTTGTATGATTTTATGTCTCAGCGTTGGGAAATGAAGTAGCTTCCTGCACAGAAACGGCTGCGTACAATTCCTCTCTGATTTGTCTTTGACCTTCATGTCACATACGAGGTGATGCAGTAAAACCGGTCTCTTCACAAATGAAGCATCAGGGTTTTTTTCTTGCTTTTCCCTCACAAAAGATAGCAGGTTAAAATATTCTTATTTGGCCCGGTCACATTAAAAATAACTGTCTTAGACAGAGGGTAAATTAGGATTAACCATTTGTTACCAAAGTCAACCTTAATAGTTTTTTATTATTATTATTTTTATTTATTTTTGTTTCACAGCTGCTCAAGTCAAGCCACTTTCCAGGACTGAGACGCCGACGCCACTTAGATTCTTCAAAGCCCTACATCGCTGCTAAGTTGGATTCACTGCCAGCCAACTTCACCCTGGGCGATGAGAAGATGTACGGTGGTTTTTACAACAGACCGCTGACCAGTCCACAGGAGTACCTCTGCTTCGTCCTGGCCCAGCTTCAGTCTGAGCCCGTCGACGGGAACGCCAGTAACGTAAGAGACATTCCAACACACACACAAGTCGTGTTACTGATCAGGAGCCTGTGAAGCAGATTACATTAGGACTGAGTTCAGGCCGAACCTCTGCTTTTGTGCATTTGAACCAACTTTTCTTTTCCAAAACATATAAAGTTTATCATCCATCCTTTGGTTGGAACCACACTGCTCCTCCAGCTTTTTTAAAACGGCAATGGCAAGCCAAATTGTTGTTCCTTTTACTGCCATTTAGCCTTTAATGTGTTTCCCTATAAAAGTCATTGTAGCTTGTCTTGATAACTCCCTTATCACTTGACGATTACATCATACATCTAGCCTTGCTATTTCAGCTGCCAGCAGGGCACTGTGGAGATCTCTTAACAATGCTAATACAAGACTGTGGGCTTTCTAAGTGGATGCTCTACACACTCATCAAACAGCACTAACACTGAGGCCCAGCTCCCTGTTGGATGGTCAGGAGTAAACTAAGCTGCAGGAAGAATGAGAGTCTGCGATTGCTCGGGGCTTCTTTACCGCCCGGCACATGCATATTCAGAGGCTGAGCCCTGGGCAACCACAGAGGAGGGAGAAGGAGTGCTCCACATCCAAAACCAAATCCCAGACTTTCACCTTTTTCATCCACTCCTGCACTCTCTCCTGCTCATCCAGCCTCTCTTTTATGCCTCTGATTTTTTCTTTTTTTCCCTTGCCTTCTATCCTTATCTGTGTCTCCTTTTTAACTCTTACCATCTTTCTCTACAGTAAAGAGAGAAGAGGAGATTGATTAGTGCAGCTGGAGTTAAGAGGACCAGGGCCTTGGTACAGATCCTCTGGAGTCTGTAAAGCAGGTCTAATTCCCTTGAACGCTGCTCTAAATGTCTCAAAGGAAATCGTCTGCCATATTGCCCCCACTCCTTCCCTCTAAGAAGGGAAGGAAACTATAGTAGGCAGGGAAGATACACTTCAAAGCAGATCCTTAAACCCCTCTGCGGTGGAACAGTCTGACTTCTGGTGCCTGATGCACTAGGCCTGTAGTCGCACGCGAAACGTGTCTGTGTTTGTTTACTCGGCTTCATTAACTATGTAACACACTCCCACCTTAAGAACTAATTTTATGGATTAATTGAGCATCGCAAACACAGAGAATCAATCGGTGTGTGTTTGCTCGCCTTAAAGTCACCTAGTTGTTTGCAGATTGATCTCATGACCCACTTTCATTGACTTAATGCAAACAAGTCACCTGCCTTTAACAGGGGCTGTAAAGAGTCAAGACTATTTAACTTTGGTTTGACCTGCTGTTGCAGGGACAGGAGCAGATTGATGATGACGATTACGTCGTCTTCAGTTTACTTCACTTCAGTACTTTTGGTAGTTTGATGTGTTCATAATAATAATGATTAATTTTATTTATTTTTTTACTTTATTGATCCCACACCGGGGAAGTTGTGTTAACAGCAGATCTGCTACAACAGTCTGCCCCTTGGAGGCGCCAAGTATGTGCTTCCTATGGGAATCAAACCCAGGTCTCTCTGTTTGCACAAAGCAGATGTGCTAACTTCGGAACCTTGTAGTCTTTGTTGACTATAAGTTCTTCCACTTACCAGTAGCTAAGCAACTGCTGTTTGCACAAAATGAAAGGCCTTTGGGTGAGAGAAGAAAAAGGGATTCAAAATAACAAGGCAGAAATTGAAGATAAATGTGAAGGAACTACATTAGGATAAAAACCCACCAATTGATAGTAATACACAGTATATAACTATTACATTGAAAAAATATACAGTTTTGTGTTTTTAACCAGTACTTGACCTCCGTGTTAAATCGTTTTCTAGCATTAGTTAATTTAAATATAAATTCATCTAAATGATATGCAGACTTTAAAGAGGCAAAATTCACTGACATAAAAAAAACAGGCAGGAGGGAGACAGTGTTACTGACTAAAGAGCCTGTACTCTCACTGAACTGTGCAAAAGTTCCAGAAGGAAAAGAAATCACTGATTTAAAAGTACAGTATAGGAAAGAAGATAAACCCAGAAACTGCTGTGTGGAGTATTTTCACTGAAGAATTTACAGTAACAAGATTGTTAAAGTTCAATCTGTCATCCAAACACTTTGGATTTTATGTCTCTCCCAGTATTATAGTAGAAAACAGAGGCGGGTTGACACTAACTGATGCACAAGCTCCTTAACTGGATGGTTTAGGAATCTCAAGCAAAGCGACTGTGGGTTTTTTTTTTGTTTGTTTTTTTTGACACAGCACCGTCACGTATTTATTACCACACTCAGGTGGTGCAGAAGGAGGAGCGTGCAGGGTGATGAAGAGGCTGGCAGAAGGTTGCCTGAAGCAGGAACTACAGCAGATCCCAGAGAATTAGACAAGAAGTGTTGGAGTAAATGCCTGGTGTCTTGACTGTGCTTCTCTGTTACCAACTCTCCCAGTGTAGATCAAACATGACCACCAGGGTTTAATAAGCACTGCTATATCAAGGGCCAGGAGCTGCCAGCAGTGGTTAGAGAGAAGAAACAGAGAGGAAGTCAAAGAGGGATGGGAGAGTGAAGAGGACACGCCTTCATGTCTCTCCAGCCTGGAGCAGATAAACATGGGTGGAGGAGGAGGAGGGGGNTGCCTCTGTTTAAACATTACGTTTTAATGCAAGAAGAGAGGGAGGAGAGGATGAACATAAGATACTGTGTGATGCCAGATGAGAAGAATGCAAGAAGATTTTTAAAAGAAATTTCACTTGTCTGTGAAGCCTGGATGAGAGAACTTTAACTTGAGCAGATTAAACCGGGTGTGCTTTTTTTTTATTTGATAAGACAGACGTGATCTTAGGTGAGTTAAAGTGAAACCATACCTGTGTCTTTCAGGTGTTCTTCATCTGCAAACTTTTTTGCAAACCACAACTGCTTTATGGGGCACAAAAGCATGACTGACTTTTTTGCTGATTTCACATTTCATGACAATGTCACATACTGTATATAGTCGATTGGTCGTCCGACCACAGCCCAATCTTGATGAATATATAGTCGATTGGTCGTCCGACCACAGCCCAATCTTGATTGCCCAATTTTGTATTCATCTGCGCAGTGAAAACAAAAATAACCCCATACCAACATTCTTGGGTTTATATATAGAAGAAAGTAGAATTTTGTCTTTTCTGTCATCATATTTTTCTCACTTATTTTGTTTTGCTCTTTTTCACTGTCTCTTCACGTGTCACGCATTGATGAGAAAAACACGGCCTCCCGTGAGACAGACAGACGGAGGCACAAACAGACATAAAATGAGCGACTTTGCATGTTTTCTGTTTGTCTGGCTCACATCCCTGTGGCTAATTTGAGGTATTTTTTGGAAAGAAGTTGACCCCGAGGTCAGCAGCATGTTGAAGCTAATGTGCACTGTAGATGCTAAGCTCAGGGGACAGAGAAGTAGAGCATGTCTAAGGAAGTGGTGTAGCCCGAGGTCCAGAACAGCCTTGATGTACTGCTACAACAACAACACCTTGGCTTCTGTGTCTTTTTCTGCCTCTCTGTCTTGTCACTCTCACTTTAACACTTTTTTTTCCCTTTTTGTCAGACAGAGACTTCAAATCCACCAATTTACACACACTCCAACAGAGAAGCTACAGCGTAGCAACACACTTGTAAAAATTTGTTTTTTTTTTAAAGGCACAGAAAAATGGATCTCTCACATTTGCTTTTTTCACTTATTGGCTCAAAATTTTCTAATGTCCATTTGTGCCTCATAGCAATAGCCCTTAAAATCCAGCCCCAGTAATAATAATAAAAGTTTCACAGTAATCTGCATAGACATTTGAGCCACATCAGTAATAAGGCACCAGTGATTGGGTGGAGTTTTCTAATCACTCTTTGTTGACACAGAGGGTACGCTTGGTTTTGATTGCCTTGTTAACATAACCTGAAGATAAGATCTGATCTCATACTACAGTCATTGGTGCTCAAATATTAACCAACAGAGTGGAGAGAGGGTCGCTGCACTCTTTTATTGGCCGAGTGTGATTGGTTCCATTCTTTTATTACACAAGACAAAATCATCATCATGCATTAATGACAAGATGTTTTTCTTTAGCAAAACTTTTCGTGGATAAAAACGAAGTCAGACCTTTATTTTCATCTAAAAGTAACAAACAGTCATTTGCGTGAGTCAAAAACCTGAAGGATATTCTAAGGGTTTCATTCCACTTGCATTCTACCCAGATAAATTCCCACCGACTGCTGCCATGTGGACATAGTATGTGCACTTCAGGACGTTTTGACGCCTTTTACTGTTTCTGACTCACTCTCAGTTTCACGTGTTACTTTAATGCACCCACACTTCATTCTGATCCCACTCTGTGAGGGCAGTAGCATTAGGAGCTGCGTGACTGATCTTTTATCAGATTGGATGATCTCAGTACTTCACTGTGGCCAACAGACAAAAAGCCCTTCTTTGTTAGGCCCTCTCCACTCACTCTTCTTGCCTTATCCTTCACCAAAAGCGCAGCTGCGGTCATTTATAATAGCAAAAGAAAAAAAAAATTCCCAGGATTCTGTGCGGGCTTACATCCCTCAGACTTTTTATTTTTGGCTTACTCACATGATCAGGAGGCTTTTTAAATTATGTTATATCAGCAACAGTGTAACCTTTAGAATCCTCCTCTGTATATATTTATACGTCCTAAACCCTTAATTTTATTTATTTTCTTCATTTTCCCATTTTCTCATCTCAGACTAAAGGACACTTGAACATCAGACTCCATCTCACTTTATAGACCAACCATCTCCATGTCCTTCTTTACTAAGTCAGTGAATCCGTCTCTTTCCATTCTGTCTGATATAATCCACTACGTCTCCTAAGCACATAACGTCCAAAACGTATCTTTCTTTGAATCAGTTCTTAGTCTCAACAGGGAATAGAATTTGCCAGATTGTGTATGGATGACGGCAGTAAATGAAGAAGTCACGCTGCTCTCTCTCAGGTGCTGCTTTGATACACACTTACTCAATTCCTACCTGTCTTATTCTACGTCCATGCCCACTGTAAAGTCATGCTAGTTTGCATACACACTGAATTGTACTGGCAGTTACTTAACAGTACCAGAGATATAACACACCTTTGTGACAGAGTGCAGGAGACTTTGAACACACCACAGCCTCTCTTTCCAATTAATATCTGCCTGTGTGTGGAAGAGCAGACTGCTGTGCAGCTAATGATCTGAATTATTGCTGCCTGCCACCCAACCACTCATGCCCCATGCTGTGAGCCCAATTCCCTTCGAATGCTGCGATCTGTCACCCGTGCCCCTGCGCGCAATCTTCATTCTTTTCATGACCTGTATCTCCCATCATGATTCAATAGTAGAGGTGCTGTGCTGCTGCGACAGATTCCTGCACCTTCACTTTTCTTTTTATCATCTGTCACCTCGCTCCAACAGAGTCGGTCACACTCTTCTTTCACACACTTTTTTATTAACACTATGTTGTGTCGCTCTCTTCCCCACCTCACAGGCATGCACTTGCACCCTCTTCCATCCTGTATGTCATGTTGTAGATGGGGAGCTGTAGATGTATCATTTAAAGCCAACGTGAACAACTTTTTGGTTGTTCTGTGGCCAAAGTACAGTTTGTTTTTATTTTTTGCAAAGTCGACAAATAATACATTTAATGATACCTTGTGTATGCATGTGTTTGTACTTAGCATCATTAGCTGAATGGCTTGAACATGATTATTTTATTTGTAGCCTTTTATTTTGAAATCAGTTGGAATAGTAGGTCCAGATTCCTGCTAAACTTTCTTTTAACTGTTCACTCTCTTTGAATTTTAAAATGGTATAGTAAATGTAATACAGATGTATAATAAAATACACACTGAGCCAATTAAAACATTTGAAACTAAGAATTCAAAGCACTAGGAGAACAACAGCCATGAAAACGAAGCTTAAGGCCAGGTAATGTAGTCACAAAACAGAAGGCGGTCATTTATCAGGGCAACAGAACAGCATGCAGGTCACTGAGGAGGAAGGGGGTGGGGGGGGGGGGGGGGGGGGGGGGGTAGTGGCCTGAAGGCTGTGTGCTGCAAAGGTGAGAAGAATGGCAGGTAGATAAAAGGACACCAGTACTTGTCCACAGGATATAAGCATTCATCATGTCGCAGGCATATTTGTAGTTGCAATAAATTAATATATATATATATATATATGATATGATATGAATATGAATGTTATGAATAAATGTGACTTCCACCTAACATATGTGAACTCTTCGTCTTTACAGATGACTTTTTCTGCCAGTCCCTACTCAGACCCCATTCAAGGCACCAGACTTCTTCCGCACGGGTCGGAGCAGACTGAAATGTTGTGGGTGATGGGCCCAGTTCTGGCCGTTGTCCTCATCATCATCATCGTCATTGCCATTCTGCTGTTTAAAAAGTAAGAACCCTTACAGATACACTTGTAAGTGCCAGTTGTTGTTGTCATAACAGGAAAAGTAATGAGAAACATGAACTGCTGACAAAGCAGACTTGCTCCCAGAATCAATACCATAATATACAGTTTAACAGCAGAGGAACCACGGGTTGAATGATTTGGGTTTTTTTTTTTTTTTGTGCGTTATAAGATGAGATAAATAATTGTACAAATGCCAATGTGAAGCCACTATTATATTTTATTTTCTTATTGGTAATGTGACATGTGATAATATTTATATCACCTGTCCTCCTCCTGGTGAAATCCCACCTCTGTATCTTCTCTCAATGGCTCCATTACAAATTAGCTGTTTCCCATCAATCCTCTCCTTACACCTGCCATCCTCAGCCGTGCACTTTGCTGCGTGGCTGCCATCTTCAGCAAAAAAGGGACTGGATAATAGTAGGCCTTTAGACAGCCTGCTGCTGAATAACACGTCCTCTGTTTGGAAGGCCTGTTTTCACGTCGACACATATTGACAGAAGGTACTGTGGGACGCGGCTGGCTGCTCCTGTCACAGTGGACTGGCAGAAAATGTGCAGAGGGATTGTCACAATGGAGTCTGGTGTGTTGTTGTAGGGATATCACGAAGTTGTTCCCAGAAGTGTCTGTTACTAGGATGAGTGAACGGGTCGTTTTCAGGTTTTCAGTCCATGTGGCTCAGAATTCCTTAATAACCTTCCCACTACTTCTTCTTGTCCTCTGTAAATGCAGCAAACAGGAAAGGTGGGTACTTTCACTGGTGTGTCAGTCACAACTTCATCCCCCTGCATCCACACCCCCCCAACCCTTCATTCGTGTTGTTCAGTCAGTTGTATTCATCAAGTCTGTAGGGTTGCAGAATCAGTTACCTCTCAACGTATATGTTACTTGAAAATATAAACAGCTTTATATCCCAAAAAACTTTTTTTTTCCATTTGGTTCACTTTGACATCATACACATGAGAAGCAGCAGACTCTGCACCCCTTGATAAATGGAGGGGGGGGGCTGTGAGGGGGGCTGGGTCATATCTGTGTAACAATGCATGTTTCACATCCAGTGCCAGTGTTTCTTCTCAGATCATCTTGTTTGCTATGGTTTGTCACCTTGCTGTGTTTCATTATCCAGTCCATGTCAGCGTCCCCCCCCCCTCACTCCGTCAGGATTGGCCCCCTCTGAATATGCCAAGACATCACCTGCAGCTGAATGGGCTATTGTGAAGTAAATGCCAGAGGAGGAAACTGCTGAAAAAGAAATTTTCCCATCTTTTAAGCTGACATTTTCAACCGAGACTTATTCCTCCACTTTTAGCCTTCACGCCTCTCCTCCCTCCTTTCCTCCTCCCCCAAGCCTCTCATAGCAGGATTCTCAACAAAAGACCCTGTTCTTCTCTCATTTAGTGGTCTGGATGGTGTGCACACAGACAGTGTGTGTTTTTATAGGACTCTGTGTAATTATATTCTTACCTGTAAATAGTCTTTTTTTTTTGTTTCCCCAAAAAGTCCATAAATATATGTTTATGTATAAATATCAGGTGATATTTGCACAACTGTAAAAGTTTATTTTAGTCTAAATACTGACGATTTGAGAATTATGCACACCATGCACTTTTATAAATAATAAGTTATATAATATGTCATGAAAAAAGAGTGTATCTCAAAAATTAAGGTATGAACACACTCTTTATCACACATTTTGTGATATACAATTATTTTTTCATCTATTTTAAGGGAGGTACAGCTATGATATATCTGTATTTAGAAAAATACCTGTTAAATATAACTATATTATATTTTTTTATTTTGATGGTCTATGGCCCATATTGTAAATTTTTATTTTGATGGTCTATGGCCCATATTTCTTTGGGTTTGAGATTCTCATCCCAACAGGTCAAAGGGAGACACACACCTAGTGGTGTTCTCTGGATGATCAGGACAGACTTAGCCTGACAGGACTAGCATTAGCCTAAACCTTCTCAGCATCAGTTAATGGTTAGCAGTAAGGCCCATTCCATAACACTTAGGCTGGACTGAGCTGAAGTTGTGCTGGCAGCAGCAGCTTTGTGTATTCTCTCCACACTGGTTATCAACAGCAGGTTCAATCCTGCCTGAAACCCACGCTGCCACTTGCAAATGGAATGTAATGAGATAAGAAATTTCCAGAAGGCACCCTGATGCTTTCTTCCACCCATTTCTGTTTGTCAGATACAGTCTGCAAGCGTATCTGCTTGTGAGTGTGGTAATAAGAGAGCGAGGTGGAGAAGCATATGTGTGCGTGCGTTAGCAGATGCCGACTATCTGAAAATCTGGATCCAGACAGAACGGCTTTTCTCCTCCTCACTCCAGCTGATGGACAAAGCTACGGTTGACTGAGCAGAGTCATTTGGCGTGGTTCTCTTCTGTTCTGCGCTATGTTAGACTCGGTTAAGCCCTGGAATCGCAGGTGCCGCAGAACCAGTCTAATTACCCAGTGTTGTGCCACCCAGCTGATGCGCTAATTACAGCATCCGCCTGTTTTCCTCTCAATCTGGAAAGCCAGTAAACACAATGTGTTGTTAGCACACACACACAGCAGCAAAAGTCACACATTTTAATCTTTGCTACACACACATTCACACACATGTACACATACCCACACAGCAGCTGTCATCTATCCAGCAGCTAGCAAGCTCAACTTAGCCCACTCCAGGAAAATGATGGCATTTTTTAAACACATTAAACTCCAGTTGGCAAACTAATGGGGGCAACACCCTGTTACCTACTGTCTCTGGAATTGCTGGTCCTCAGACCCAATTTTGAGAACCATTAACTATGCCGTTAACCTCATCATGTGTGCAACACATTGAAGATATTGATGTTTCATTTGTGTCTCCTTTTTTTGTTACTCATAACAAACAAAAATATATGTCATTGTTAGTCATCCAATCGGCGAAGCCTGAAGTTGGCTTGAAGAATAAACGGCTGAGCTAACGGCTCATTCATTGAATCACTAAGTGAGCTTAATGTGATCATCACTGTGCTGCTTTGCTGTTTCTCTCACCACAGGAAGAGGGCGTCACCCTTACCAAAAGACGACCACTCTGGTGGAGTGAAAGACTCCCTGCTGGCGAACTCCTCCGATCCTGTGGAGATGAGAAGACTGAACTATCAGACCCCAGGTAAAAAAAACAAACAATATAAATTACAAATTAAATGTTACATTAATCATAATTCCTTTTTCAACCTTTTCTTTTTCACAATATCCAACCTCGAAAAAGTCCCCTAAAAGAAACCTACTTCTTGTGAAGTGAACACCTGCTTCTCTCTTTTTTCTCTCTAATAGATTTTGTGTTTATTAGTTCTCTGTAAGATATTGCTGTATAAAATTCATGTGTTCAGCTTATTTGTCCCCAGGCAAATAATTCTCAAAATAAGAAAGAAATATGTCGATATGAGGGGGTGGAGGGGTATATTAGATTTTCTATTTCTAACTCTGGTCTGTATGATTGAAGTTTAGCTCCCAGCCTCACACAATAGAGATGGAGAGTTCCCCCCCTTTTGTTGGTGGAGACAGAGGTCGTATTAGGTGCCTACCTCATCAGGGCGTCACTTTTTTCTTAATTTTTGTGTCTGTTGATCCTGATCTCCTCCCTCCCGTTCCCCCACTGTGGACTCCTATTATCCCACACAGCTGGTAATGAGTCCCACTACCTCTGATGTCAAGGTGAGCACGGGACAGAAAGCAAGAGAGCTGAGAAAAAATGTCATCCTTTCGCAAAACACACACGTCTCTGCATGTGTGTGAGTGAGCCCGTGTTCACGAGCAAAACTCTCAAAAACAGCCTCTCAGCAGGAGACCTTAGCGACGTTGCTTCCTTGAAAGAGCACTCTCTTCTTCTATCCTTCCACTGTACCCTCCTTACTTCTGTCTCTAAATGTTAACTTTGTCAATTCTACCTCCAAAACTGGCCATTTTTCCACATGCATGGAGATTGTCAGAAGTTACATAACGGCTCCAGTGCTAAGTTAAGTGGACATGAAAGATCGCAGCAGGGGACCAGTCAGTTTTGTCAAGCTGTCCACTTAGGTTGTAGTTCTTACCTAATGCCACCTGGCTTCTTAGTGGATTTGTTTGGGTTTTTTTTTAAACCAGGCCGACCCACTTTGCTGTAATAACACATTGTTGATAATGTTATGGTTGAAGTTCTGGCTGTAGTCCGTGCTCTCTCTATATTAGCTTCATTCGTTTTCCTCCACAATTAATCTTCTTAATTGAACACTGACTATAGTGATGAACATAAGTGTAGTTTGTGCTCTGATGGAAATCCAAACTGTGCAGGATTTACTCAAGCCCTGACCCTTCAACCTTTAGAAGGATTAAGCAGTAAAGATTGAATAGACAACGTAGACCAAAACAACGATGTAGTACTCACAGGCCAGTTAAATGACTCGTAGTATTCTAGTTTCATCACTTCCTGTAAGTACTTTGCAGTAATCACAGTTGGTCATCCTGGTGAACTTGACAGTCTGACACTTTTACGAGGTGACGTGTGTTTGCTTCTGTCTATTTGCGTTACAAACTGTGAGCTAAGCTGTACTGACGTCTGAGGATTGGCTGTAATCTCTACATTTGCTGTGCAGCCATTCATGTAAGCATTGATAATTACACTGATCATGTCTCTCTCTATCTCTCTGACAGTTTTTTTTGTTTGCTTTTTGCAATTTTGAATACATTTTTGATTAGTTGATTAGCACAAAAAACACAAACAATGGGAAAAAATCTCTATAAAGATCCAAAGAAAAACACAACTGTACAGTGATTAGTGATTGAAATTTTTTTTTGCAGAGACCTTTGGCCTTTTACCTGAAACATGCAGTACAGTTTACATCACAGACTACAAACAGATTTTTATGAAGTGGTCACAGAAGGACAAACAGTTGTCCCGTGAAGGCAGTAACTGCACTGCAACTGCCCTGGTTGGTTGCCTGATGTTGAGCCTCCTCCACTGATAAAGTGTTCCTCCTTCCTTCACTCTCCTCTCTCTGCAGGTACCAGCTCTCATCGTTGCCCCAACACTCCAAGTTAGTCTTCTTTTTCGCCTACTGTGAACATGACACACGTGCAGTCTCTCCTCTCTCACTCACTCCCTAATCCCATTCCCTGTGTGGGATCCTGACAGACATCCCAGGTCCACAAGCCTGACGCCTCGGACCAGGCAGCCTGTCTGTCCTCTGACGGCCAGTGAACTTCCCATAAAACCTTTTAGTCTACAGTAAATACGGAGAGTGGAGAACAAACACATGCACACTGATGATAAAGTGATGAACATCCTCCTCTTGTTTCATTAAATTAAATCTGTCTTCTCCAGTTGTCCAATAGCCATAGTCACCAAACATTAGCTCTTAGCGCTGCAGCCATGTTAGGCTTTTAGCAGTTGTTTTTCACATGACCCATGACTTAGAAGTGTAATCAGCCAAAAGCATTAATAATGCTAATATCTGTGCCCTACTACAGTCGGCCATTTCTGTGTAAATCCGAGGCTGCATTAGCTCAATGATCCCCATGTGTACCCTGAGGGTCTGCATACGTGTCGTAGACTGAACTTTGTTACGTCTTAGACCAGTTCCCAACAATCCGTTTAAGCTCAGAGCTTCACTGAGTTCAAGGCACAGGGAGAATTTTGTGGGTAGATTAACATTAAATCCTCCTATAACCCAGTGATGGGAAATCTCTAACACAGCAGGGGGGCGGGGGTGTTTGAAATTAATCCAGCCCGGGCGCTCTGGGCTGGACCTTAAGATAAGTCTACTGTACAAAGTGAGGTTTTTAAAGAAATTAGTTTGGGCTGGTGACCAGTCAGTTTTTTTTTTTTACTCTCTGGGAAGTGACAGTGTGACTGATTTGTAGAAACGTGTAGGTTCCTGCTCTCATCCCATCTCCACTACCCTGTTGAGCATTGTGGGGTCAGAGATGTCTGCCTCCTGCTTCCTTCTGGAGCATGCTCACCCAGCCACTCATGTGCATCGCTGAGCCAGCACCACCTCTGTTCTCCTCACTTAGCATGACGATATCACCAAATCTCACCGGCTTGTCTCAACGTACACAGTCTCTCTCTCCCCCTCGCTCTCTCTTCTCTCCCCTCTCACCATGCATTATTGAAGGAAGTGCACTCTCCTTTACCGTCACACAGCCACCTCATGGTCCCACTGGCAGCTTCACTCACCCTGTGGTCCAACCAGTGTTTGTGTTCATCTGTGTGAACGTCACATACAAAGAAAAGAAAAGTCTCACCCTTCTCTCTGTGCCTTGTCTTGTTTTCTTTTTTGTCCCAGGAATGAGGGAGCACCCACCCATCACTGTTGCCAACCTGTCGGATCACATAGAGCGACTGAAGGCCAATGACGGCCTTCGCTTTTCGCAGGAGTATGAGGTAAGAGCCGTGCACTAAAAGTGGATCAGTGTCTCTGGTTATTTTATCTGGGGGGGAATTTAGTGTCTTTGTCCTTTGATTCTGTTCATGTCTTCACAGAGATTATGAAAGTCTCAGCTCGCAGACATGGTTCAGTCATTTTTACAGCTCTATTTCCAATTGCACAATGAAAAATCTCCTACATAAATTGCAGCGAGGTGCTCCTTCACATGACAAGCAGGTAGTGGCAGGTTGCTTAAGTCATCTGCGTGCGTCTTGACGTATTTCCTGAGGAATGTTATTTTGCAGCAGTGTAACGGATTATCTCTCTGTCACTACTTTCCTCAACAAAAGAAGCAAATTAGCATTTAAAGTGCCACATAGTTGATGTGGGCACTGAGCAAGGAGAGATGAAGGCAGGAGTCATCTTTAAATGTACAATCACTGCAGCTGTGTTTTTTATTTGTTGGGTGTTTTTTCAGTGCAGTCGTCTTTGGCTCCTACTTTAATGATGAAACCAAGTTGTTTAAGAGTCACATGGTCAATAAAAGGTATTAGAACCAAGTGCAAAAAACATAGCTTTACAAATAAAATGAAATAGTGTTTATTACTAATCAAACACGAGGTCCATGGGCTGAATCTTGGCCTCCATGTCACTTTACATGGCTCACCAGAGCTGGTTGTCATATGACTATGAGTCCGTACCAATGTTTGCATTTTGTGTGTGTATAATATATGGCTCCCAATTCTGATTATTCTCAATCGTATCTTTACCACGATCTCCCATAATGCACTTCGATTGCATGACTCTTCCTGCATCGTGTGTTAATACAGGTACATACTTTTTGATGTGGTAGATTACAAGACAAACAAGTCGATAGAGTTCTGACTTTTTACTGTTCTATTCCTGTAAAATGATTGTGTGTCTCTTGTGAGGAACTTTGTGAACCAAATCTGTCTGCTGTGAAGAGAAACAGTATTCAGAACGTTCAGTAAGGTTGTTTTTTTTTTTTTAATGTGTACAATTTGAAAGACAGTACCAGTGTATAGTACTACACTTTTAAAGCACAAATATATAGCATTTCATGTACTGTGTGAAGCTAACTGCTAACATGGGAGATAACAAGAATTAAGCTGTGTTCCTCTGAGCCTCCATCACATCACGTCACCTCCTGGCCTGTGGCGTTCATGTAAACACATCAAGCTGCAGACCTGGCTTGTGTGGTTTGAGCCAAACAGCCTGACCTCAGTCTTTGTCCTGCACCAGGCCGTTTGAGCCAGGGAAGACCCCCTCTATGGCAAGCAGATGGCCACAGTAGTCTGTGCCAGCAGATTTGCCGTGGCAGTGTTCGTGGAGCTGCTGCCGTCATGCTCTACCCCACGGCACAGAGTTTGTCAAGGCTTCGCCACCTTCCCCTCCCCTAATCTTCAAGGTGCTCTGACATTTACTTTACCATCAACGCCAGTCTGTAGCACGCCGAGCTATGAGCACACTGGGTAATGAGCAGAATTTGTCAATCACAGGTGCTGCAGTTTCCTCTGACAGGAAGCAATATCTTGCTGCAGTTGCCGTACTACTATTATTATACACGTTTGAAGGCACTTTCAGTGTGTCAGCAGTCGTACCTCTCGTCTTTTCTTTTTTGCAACCTCCACTGAACACATTTGCTACTCCTCACCAGTCTAGTGTCCATATTTTGCTTACCTAGCTTGCAAATGAATGTCGTTTGTATTATGCCCCTCGTTGCTAATAAGTTTGCGTTGTTGAGTTCATCTGCTGATCTTGGCTCGTGTGAAAAGTTCAGCAAATTGTATGTTTTTGTCAAAAAATGTGAAATGTAACAATTACTGCTAATGTTAATTAGCTTCTAAATTTGCCCTTCTTGTTACTTGAGGCTCTGCCTTTATCTTTTAAATGTAACAGAGGCTTAAACAAGAGATGTAATAATTTTAATGTAATAATTGATTATTATCTTTACTACAGCCCTAATCCAATTAGAATTATGTTTGAGGAAATATAAAAATCCTCTACCAATTAATGCACTGTTGTTGTCACAGTAAATTGCAGTGAAGTAATTTAAAGCTGTCTTTCTGAGTCCTGCAGGATTTGTAAGGCGAAAAGGTTTGGGAAATTAGCAGACACGGCTCTGAAGTGAGCTGAGGTAGATCGATGTGGAATAACAAGAGATTGCGACATTATTGAGCCGAGGGAGGGGAGGCCGTCACATATCTGGCCAGATCAATATGTATGCAGTGGACCGTCATCGCAGACAAATGACTCAAGATGGGAAGGGTTAAAATGAGCAGAGGATGAAAAGGAGAAGGAGAAAAAAAAAACAAGCAGCAAAAATAGAAATGGGGGGCGAGGGAGGAGGGGGCAGTCAGGGAACTCATGGTTACCGCAAGTAGTCAGGCACATGACTTCAGAGAATGATGAAACTCAATAGGACCGTCCAAAAATGTGATGTTACACCAAGGTCAAACCAGTGCTCTGTCTTTCTGTTGGTTTTAGACATAATTAAAATCAAATGGTTTTGTCCAAGAATAACAGGTGTGCTTTTGTTTTGTTTTGTTTTTTGGTATTTCTGCTTCAACCTTAGGATGCCGAGAGCCGTGCTAAAAATTAGCCTCATAGTACACTGGCTGCAGTTGCAGTGAAGGAAGCACCGTGGGGTTTTATGAAGTGGTTGCCTCAGCCTGCACAGTGCTTCACATACGATATAAAAGCACTTACCTGTAGCACTCCGCTGTGGCTTTTTAAGTGACATGATGTTGGTGTATGTTCTTTTTAAGGCCTGGTGGTCCATGACATATACCACAGTAGACCACTGACAGCAGACACGTGTTCAGTTTGCCCTATCTCCTCACCAGTGATAATCTCAAGAGGCTCTCTTTGTGTTTCTTTCTCCTCTTCTCTCCTTTTGTAATTCTGCCCTATCCAATAGTCCATTGATCCGGGTCAGCAGTTTACCTGGGAAAACTCCAACATGGAAGTCAACAAGCCAAAGAATCGCTATGCAAATGTCATCGCCTACGACCACTCCAGAGTGGTGCTCACCTCTGTGGATGGTAAAACATCATGTGACCATTTTACTGTCAGAGTCCAGCAGCCAATGGTGGTTTCCACCTTTATCACTGCTGCTGTAATGTAATAATGATTCTAATCAAGTATTTGTGATCAACATCCTCACTTTGTGTTGTTGTAGCCGTTCCTGGAAGTGACTACATAAACGCCAACTACATCGATGGCTACAGGAAGCAGAATGCCTACATCGCCACCCAGGGGCCTCTGCCAGAGACACTGAGTGACTTCTGGAGGATGGTGTGGGAGCAAAGATCCAACACTATTGTCATGATGACTAGACTGGAGGAGAAGTCACGGGTAAGAGCGACTTCTTATAATATATACAGTTTATATACTGTAGACCACAGGCAGGTATATGGACTGGAGTCTATACTTGGTGCTCACTTTTAACATGAAAATACAATAAAAGGAAATATTATTAATAATGTTAATCTGTATTATAATAATAATTGTTATCATCATTTAACTACTATTAATATCATCATCTTTCCGTTCCTAACATAAATAAAGCAAGGGTCTCAAACTGCCACCTTCCTTTCATTGAAGGACGACTGCATTGTTAAATATTCAATACCAATACATTTTGAAAATAATATATATATATAACGCCACAAAGTACAACACTTTTCCCATTCCTAAATTACCATTATTGGCAGTATAACTGTAACAGAACTGTGCTGACAAAGTGATAACATAGAATAAAAAATGATTACCACAGGAATAGGAGGCAGTGCTGCATTCACAGGAACTCCTTTTATTTTCTGCAGAACTATTCTGCAGTGCACTGACTCTATCTCATCTTCTCTCTATCTACACACACAAACACTCACATTTACACACACACACATACAGTACATATACCCAGCCAGTCGACCTCCCGCCGCGAAGGCAGACTAAAGAATTTTGTTAAACAGAGCAAGGATTTGTCAAATCTGAAGGGATCTGACAGCAGGACAATTCCTCTGCTTTCATAAGCGGCCAGTGAAGCCATGGAAGGTCAGAACTTTGAAGGAGAGCACAAATATTACTCACTGTGAGCTTTGTGTGTGTGTGTCTTTTTTGCTTGTGGCAGTGAATACAAATGTCGGTGTTTTGAGTTCATTATATCGTAGTCACTTCCCGCCCATGCATGGGAAATTTCAAAGGTTGGGACCAAGTTTGATGGTGAGAACTGACGCACATATTATTTCATCGCTTTGAAAACCCTCTGTATTTAAGTCATGTCATTATTTTCAGTAGTACAGTAGTGGCAGTCAGCTCACATATGCCCTCTTGTGGCCACAGATGATAAAGGTTGTATTTTTAACGTAAAAGACACATTTGAATTTAAGTTGTGGGAGCAGACAAACCACTAAAAAATGAAAGACTTGCAGTCCAGAAAATACAGCATTTGACGGGTAGTGCAAAGAGCAAAAAAATAAAAATAAAAAACTTTAGTTTCCTCAGAACAGTGGCTGGGTTTATTGTGTGTGTTAGGGCTAACATGCCGGCCAACCTCAGACATATTCATTACGCCGGCGACTGCTAATCCATATGTTTGTGCTGCGGGCGGTTCTCTGTCAGTCCGTGGACTTTCTCCTGCAGAGTCTCAGCTCTGCCTCTGAATAGAAGCTGTCACAGAAGAGGGGCAAATGTGGACGGTCAATTTCTCCACATATTCTCTTAGTCCATCGGAGTCGACTCGCAGGGAAAGTCCAAGGTGCTTCCAAATGTCAGCTCTGTACTGCAGTATCATTATGATTAGCTTGTCTGCACCACGCCGCTTCCTCTCTGTTATCTGAATCAATAAAGTCCTCGTCGCAGGAGCTGTGACATTAGAAAAGATCCAGTAGTTCAGCCTTTAGATTATGATTCTGATGTACAGAAGATTTACTGCGTTGGTGATGGGAGTTATTATTTTAAACGATTGGCTGAATCAGATGGCAACTTGCTATCTACCTAGCTTAAGAAATGATATTTGATAATAAACATCTCTAGCACTTGAGATTTATTTGCACCAGGTCTCAACCAGCTTCTCTGACTGGAATCCAGTTCCTTTAAATTGTTCTTTTAGTTTCGGAAAAGAGATGGAGCTGGATAAGAATCTGTTGCAAATCTAATTTGAACAGGTTTCCTTTCACATTTGGTTAAAAAAAGGCGTTTGCTCTGAAAGACCAGATCAAATAAAACGTGACACACCTCAACATTTTACAAAGATGAAATGATTTTTTTAATGCTGTTAAGAGACTACAGAGTAAAATGGTAGATATGATCACAAATGTATCTTTTCTGTTATTGTAATATTTATGCTTTCACACAAATCCACCAGACCGGGTTCTTAGACACTTTTCCTCTGACAATTCCAATCTCACTTGTGACGATTGCTCCATAATCTTAAATGACATAAGTGCCACCAGCTCAGACTGAATTCATTAACAGAGATCATTGGCTGGTTTAAGAAGATCTCTGGTGTTCTGTTGCAGTGCTGCAGCTCAGTAGAGTCAGAGTAGTTGGTTTTTGCTTTTTCTTTTAATGAGACATTGGACCAGGCCTTTGAAGTGACCTCTACGCTGTTCCCTTCTTGCTCATCAGTGTGTTCCTAAAAGCGTTCACCTGCCTTCTGCCGTGTGTCAGAAGCAGCTTGTTTTTGACAGCGTGTCTTCTCCTTGTCTCTTTTCCCCTGTCACGCAGGTCAAGTGTGACCAGTACTGGCCGTCACGTGGAACGGAGACCTATGGTATGATCCAGGTCACCATGCTGGACACTGTAGAGTTGGCCACGTACAGTGTCCGTACATTTGCCCTCTATAAGGTAAACTGCAGGCTTTTTCATTTTCAGCTGAGAACATGTTCCCAGCAGGTAATTGCTGCTCATCATTAACTGGGGTCATTTTTTAAAGCTGTAATTCCTTATTTTTCCAAAGGCTGATAAAAGGCTTTTAACACCAGAGTCCTTTCTTCTCTGAGATAATTGGTTTCCACTGTTTCTGATTCGTCTTTTGGTTTATTAAAGGCGATGCAAGGTTATAATTTCTGTTTCCACTTTGATTCATGCACTTTAGCGCAGCACTACTGTGACTGATAGCTTGTCCTTTAATTTCTCCTTGCCTATAATTTCTGACATTATAATAATTTCCAATTAAAAGCAGATTTCCGGTTGGAGCAGGTCCTTTGTTTAAATCCAAAGTGGCAGCTGTGCCAGCGACATGTTTCCCTGAAGCTGCTGCAGTACAACTCTCAGATTACACATGTTATCAGCACAGACACTTGCAGAGTAATCACAGCCGTAGAGGCAGAGCTCATAATGTGTCGCTATCAAAGTTATGTGCCAAATCAAGTCCTCAGCTTAAAATAACGACTTTTTGACAATTGAATCACTTCTTCTTTTAACTTTAGAGACCCAGCAGCCTTTCATCAACTCAGGCTGCACTTACCTGCTGAAAACATTTCCTCGCAGCAAGAAAAGATATTTGAATGGCTTTAATTTTTTTAAAAAAAGGCCAGTTACATTTAAAAGTACCGAGGTGAACCTCTAAGATACCTTTCTGTCTCTGCTGTAGAATGGCTCCAGTGAAAAGAGAGAAGTCAGACAGTTCCAGTTCATGGCCTGGCCCGATCACGGGGTACCCGAGTATCCGACGCCCATCCTGGCCTTCCTGCGACGTGTGAAGTCCTGCAATCCTCCAGATGCCGGGCCTATGGTGGTCCACTGCAGGTGGGTGTGTCTACAGTAGGGGGCACTGTATCAAAACAATATCAATACTGCCAACACAAAGTTAGCAGAGAAGAAAAACTTAGACTTCCTGATCAATTTCTCTGTGATGTAAAATAACAGAAAACAAACCGTTATTATAAAATATAACAATATTACTAAACCAAAGGGCAGCTTTTATGAGGGATTTCAGCATTCACCATTTTATTGTTGTGCAATTATTTCAGGCTTCCACAGTCCAGACGAAACCGAAGCTTGTGTTGCTATTTTAGAAATCTTTATAGTGCCATATTAAAATTTATATTCTAAGTTCTTTGTCGGCTCCACAGTGTAGAGGAGTTGTCAATGGTTAGCAAAAAGTTTGCAAAGCTAGTTTGATGCCTTTTCTTCCTATATGGTGATTATGTGTCTTGTCTTGTGTGTGAGTATTTTCTCTAGGTACTGCAGTAGTTCCTTTTAGATTCCAAGTACATGCAGGATTATGTTAATTCTTTACTCTAAATTGACAGTAGGTGTGAATGTGAGTGAGAATGGTTGTCTGTCTCTCATGTGTCTGTGTGATGGACCAGAGAACTGTTCAGGGTGTATACCGCCCTCACTTGACGACTACAAGGATTGGCATCATCAAAAAAATACTAATCAGTAGAACATGAATGAAAGACGTTTCCGTGTCCTCGTCTCTTCCCTGCAGCGCCGGCGTGGGCAGGACTGGCTGCTTTATCGTAATCGATGCCATGCTGGAGCGCATGAAGCACGAGAAGTCGGTGGACATCTACGGCCACGTGACGTGCATGCGCGCTCAGAGGAACTACATGGTCCAGACTGAGGACCAGTACATCTTCATCCACGAGGCCCTGCTGGAGGCTGCCACCTGTGGCAACACCGAGGTGCTGGCCCGTAACCTGTACGCCCACATCCAGAAACTCACCCAACCCCCGGTGGGGGAGACTGTCACTGCCATGGAGCTGGAATTCAAGGTGAGTGATGAACACACGCATCCGAGCTTGATGTCGGTGTGAGACAAAACAGCATTAAACCACACCTGGGGTGACAGTGGACCATGTATTTCTTTGGTCAGTCTGACTGGTGTGTAATAAGTTCAATTACAACATTTTTGAAATGAATATTTATGCTATATTTTCTTTAAATCTACTGATTGGACAGTTTTTTATAATTTATATGAGTATTTCTTCTGATTAAATAATAATAAATAATTGACTAAATATAAAAATAAGTGGCAGGACGAAAAGGGGTCAATGTGGATACCAGGCTGGTAAAAAGGTAGAAAAGAAAAACAAACAGTTGAGACACAAAAATACTTTATTTTATCTTCTCTGCTCATCCCTTTATTGATCCTAGAATCAATGAGCAGAAAGAAATTTGGGAGTTGGTATTGTAGAGGTCAAAGCAGAGCTGCAAAACAAATTAAAAAAACATGATGACTGGTTTTTGTTTTGTTTTGTTTTTTTGTTTACCAAAATACTAACTCTGTGAGTGTTTGAAGAGAGAATATTATATTCTGCTGAGAATAGGACAGATTAGGGAAAATTAACATAGCAGTGTAGAGTGGTGACCTCACTCTCGACGCACAAAGGCTGTCCACTATGTATGCTTGAAAAAAAAAAAAAACAGTTTCCATGCCCATTTTTGTGCCGTCCATCTGTGTCCCGTCCACTGCCAGCGCTGCGCTCGTCACGCCCACAGTGCTACAGAAAGCTCTAGAACCCAGTGGGAGTTCCAGTCAGGGACTTGTGGCACTTTGTTTTATCAGCTCTGTCACCTGAACATGTTTAGTGGTTTATAGCAAAAGTTGCAGCAACAGAGTTGAACTTTAGGTTTAGTTCACATCTGTCCACCTTAAAAAAAATATATATTTATTTTATATTATTTTCCCAGTTTTAATGTGATATTACAGGCCTCAGGAGACACCGCAGTGTCATGAACTCACAGTAGACGGTAGAAAGTTATGTTCTAAGAGCGAAGCCTAAGTAGATGTTCCAGAGGCCAAAGGTCAGATATGTGTTTGTTGCAGCAGAGTCTCTGACTGACCACAGGTCTGGCTCGGTGGGTTCAAGTCACACTGGACCCAGGTGTAAGTCCCTGCTGCTGATTAGGCTCCAAAATGATGTTCAGACCTGAAGACAGAAAACACAGCAACACAGCAGCACCTGCAGCCTGGGTGCAACTCACCCTGATGTCAATTCCTTATTTATCCTGACAGAAAACCTTTATGTCACAACACAGTCTTGTCAGGGAAACATTAAAAACTCTCCTGGTTTATTACATGTCAGAGGTCAACATTTGTTTTCCCCTCTCTTTATCCTTTTTCTCTTTGCTTGGCTGAAAAAATCTGACTTTTTTTTTTAATACACAGAGACTGGCCAACTCCAAAGCCCACACATCACGCTTCATCAGCGCCAACCTACCCTGCAACAAATTCAAGAACCGCCTGGTCAACATCATGCCTTTTGAGTCTACCCGCGTCTGCCTGCAGCCCATCCGTGGTGTCGAGGGTTCAGATTACATCAACGCCAGCTGCATCGATGGCTACAGGTAAGAGAACTTCCTACACACTCCGATGTCACGTTTCTGTATTTAAAGGTCAAGTCTGGAGGATTCAGCAGCATCTAGGGGTGAAGTTGTGTAGGAAACTTTTTTTTTTCTCTTTCTAAACATGTTGAATTATTATATATATATATTATATAATATAATGTATTATTATAATATAATACATGTAATGTATTATATTATTATGTATTTCTGTATCCTACAGTTATTACTAAAACAGTTTTTACACTGTCTATGTTAATAGCGGATATTAAATAGATTATTAATAATTGATTACTGATTTAAATCTGTTCAGTTTACAGCAAAGTATTTTAAGGCAAATGAGTGCATTTTTAGTCATTTTTGAGAAACTTTTTTTTCCGGAGATTTCTTCAGGTCCTTATTGGTACAGTATATTACTGTCATCAGAGGTTGGCGTACCAAAAAAGTATATTTTTTCTGAATTTTAACGACAGAAATGGACATAGCTAAGTATTTTAAGGCAAATTAGTGCATTTTTAGTCATTTTTGAGAAACTTTTTTTTTCGGAGATTTCTTCAGGTCCTTATTGGTACAGTATGTTACTGTCATCAGAGGTTGGCGTACCAAAAAAGTATATTTTTTCTGAATTTTAACGACAGAAATGGACATAGCTAAGTATTTTAAGGCAAATTAGTGCATTTTTAGTCATTTTTGAGAAACTTTTTTTTTCGGAGATTTCTTCAGGTCCTTATTGGTACAGTATGTTACTGTCATCAGAGGTTGGCGTACCAAAAAAGTATATTTTTTCTGAATTTTAACGACAGAAATGGACATAGCTAAGTATTTTAAGGCAAATTAGTGCATTTTTAGTCATTTTTGAGAAACTTTTTTTTTCGGAGATTTCTTCAGGTCCTTATTGGTACAGTATGTTACTGTCATCAGAGGTTGGCGTACCAAAAAAGTATATTTTTTCTGAATTTTAACGACAGAAATGGACATAGCTAAGTATTTTAAGGCAAATTAGTGCATTTTTAGTCATTTTTGAGAAACTTTTTTTTTCGGAGATTTCTTCAGGTCCTTATTGGTACAGTATGTTACTGTCATCAGAGGTTGGCGTACCAAAAAAGTATATTTTTTCTGAATTTTAACGACAGAAATGGACATAGCTAAGTATTTTAAGGCAAATTAGTGCATTTTTAGTCATTTTTGAGAAACTTTTTTTTTCGGAGATTTCTTCAGGTCCTTATTGGTACAGTATGTTACTGTCATCAGAGGTTGGCGTACCAAAAAAGTATATTTTTTCTGAATTTTAACGACAGAAATGGACATAGCTAAGTATTTTAAGGCAAATTAGTGCATTTTTAGTCATTTTTGAGAAACTTTTTTTTTCGGAGATTTCTTCAGGTCCTTATTGGTACAGTATGTTACTGTCATCAGAGGTTGGCGTACCAAAAAAGTATATTTTTTCTGAATTTTAACGACAGAAATGGACATAGCTAAGTATTTTAAGGCAAATTAGTGCATTTTTAGTCATTTTTGAGAAACTTTTTTTTTCGGAGATTTCTTCAGGTCCTTATTGGTACAGTATGTTACTGTCATCAGAGGTTGGCGTACCAAAAAAGTATATTTTTTCTGAATTTTAACGACAGAAATGGACATAGCTAAGTATTTTAAGGCAAATTAGTGCATTTTTAGTCATTTTTGAGAAACTTTTTTTTTCGGAGATTTCTTCAGGTCCTTATTGGTACAGTATGTTACTGTCATCAGAGGTTGGCGTACCAAAAAAGTATATTTTTTCTGAATTTTAACGACAGAAATGGACATAGCTAAGTATTTTAAGGCAAATTAGTGCATTTTTAGTCATTTTTGAGAAACTTTTTTTTTCGGAGATTTCTTCAGGTCCTTATTGGTACAGTATGTTACTGTCATCAGAGGTTGGCGTACCAAAAAAGTATATTTTTTCTGAATTTTAACGACAGAAATGGACATAGCTAAGTATTTTAAGGCAAATTAGTGCATTTTTAGTCATTTTTGAGAAACTTTTTTTTTCGGAGATTTCTTCAGGTCCTTATTGGTACAGTATGTTACTGTCATCAGAGGTTGGCGTACCAAAAAAGTATATTTTTTCTGAATTTTAACGACAGAAATGGACATAGCTAAGTATTTTAAGGCAAATTAGTGCATTTTTAGTCATTTTTGAGAAACTTTTTTTTTCGGAGATTTCTTCAGGTCCTTATTGGTACAGTATGTTACTGTCATCAGAGGTTGGCGTACCAAAAAAGTATATTTTTTCTGAATTTTAACGACAGAAATGGACATAGCTAAGTATTTTAAGGCAAATTAGTGCATTTTTAGTCATTTTTGAGAAACTTTTTTTTTCGGAGATTTCTTCAGGTCCTTATTGGTACAGTATGTTACTGTCATCAGAGGTTGGCGTACCAAAAAAGTATATTTTTTCTGAATTTTAACGACAGAAATGGACATAGCTAAGTATTTTAAGGCAAATTAGTGCATTTTTAGTCATTTTTGAGAAACTTTTTTTTTCGGAGATTTCTTCAGGTCCTTATTGGTACAGTATGTTACTGTCATCAGAGGTTGGCGTACCAAAAAAGTATATTTTTTCTGAATTTTAACGACAGAAATGGACATAGCTAAGTATTTTAAGGCAAATTAGTGCATTTTTAGTCATTTTTGAGAAACTTTTTTTTTCGGAGATTTCTTCAGGTCCTTATTGGTACAGTATGTTACTGTCATCAGAGGTTGGCGTACCAAAAAAGTATATTTTTTCTGAATTTTAACGACAGAAATGGACATAGCTAAGTATTTTAAGGCAAATTAGTGCATTTTTAGTCATTTTTGAGAAACTTTTTTTTTCGGAGATTTCTTCAGGTCCTTATTGGTACAGTATGTTACTGTCATCAGAGGTTGGCGTACCAAAAAAGTATATTTTTTCTGAATTTTAACGACAGAAATGGACATAGCTAAGTATTTTAAGGCAAATTAGTGCATTTTTAGTCATTTTTGAGAAACTTTTTTTTTCGGAGATTTCTTCAGGTCCTTATTGGTACAGTATGTTACTGTCATCAGAGGTTGGCGTACCAAAAAAGTATATTTTTTCTGAATTTTAACGACAGAAATGGACATAGCTAAGTATTTTAAGGCAAATTAGTGCATTTTTAGTCATTTTTGAGAAACTTTTTTTTTCGGAGATTTCTTCAGGTCCTTATTGGTACAGTATGTTACTGTCATCAGAGGTTGGCGTACCAAAAAAGTATATTTTTTCTGAATTTTAACGACAGAAATGGACATAGCTAAGTATTTTAAGGCAAATTAGTGCATTTTTAGTCATTTTTGAGAAACTTTTTTTTTCGGAGATTTCTTCAGGTCCTTATTGGTACAGTATGTTACTGTCATCAGAGGTTGGCGTACCAAAAAAGTATATTTTTTCTGAATTTTAACGACAGAAATGGACATAGCTAAGTATTTTAAGGCAAATTAGTGCATTTTTAGTCATTTTTGAGAAACTTTTTTTTTCGGAGATTTCTTCAGGTCCTTATTGGTACAGTATATTACTGTCATAAGAGGTTGGCGTACCAAAAAAGTATATTTTTTCTGAATTTTAACGACAGAAATGGACATAGCTAAGTATTTTAAGGCAAATTAGTGCATTTTTAGTGATTTTTGAGAAACGTTTATTTTTGGAGATTGGTTCAGGTCCTTATTGGTATAGAGATGGGACTCACTGCTACTTTTAGCTTCTTGGCATCCTTGTGGGCTCTGAGAGTTCATATTGTTTCCTGGGTGGGGAGAAGATGAAACAGGTGCTTTGTGTCTTTATATTTATATGAACACAGACAGAGAACGACAGAGCAGGCTCTTCACCGCTTCAAGTTTTCACTGAGGAGATGGATTTAGCAGACCTGGGAGTAGGATCCAGTCTGGTCTGTGTTCACACTGTGCTATGACAGAGACGGCTCCTCAGGCCTCCTTCCACTCATGTTTGTTGAACAGGATATGCTCCACCGATGCCCGACCTCTAATGCTTCTGTGTAAAATGGCATAATTGCAGTGGGAGAGAATGTAAAGGAGTCCAGACTCCCCCTCCCTTCCCTCCCTCTTCTTCTCCATGCTCTCTGCCTATGCCTTTTACAACTCTCTTCTTCTAAATCTGTCCCCCCCTGTGCCTCCCCTCCTGTTTCCCTCCCAGGTTTCTTACTCATGGTCTTAAATTTCTTTACAATCATCACAGCAGACTCTGACATGAGCAGGTAGGGACCAGCGTCGCTGTGTAATTAAGCAGTATTTAGTGTCCTGGTGTAAATAAGAAAACTAAACAGGGGCCTCCAGTGACCTTCAACCCAGCACCTTCAGGAAAATCCAATAATCTGCTCAGCCAATGAAGGGAGAGGCATTGATTCCAGCTCTGCTATCAGCGACGTTAGCCGTGCTCCGTTGTGCCGCAGACCTGCTCCTCTGATTGTAATGAGGTTGAAATGAAACACTATGTCATTGAGCACTACAGCGGTGTGGGATGATGCACACAGCGCTTTGTTGTGTTTGGCAGTCGGCTCACTGGGACGCAGTGTGTGCTGGGAAGTCAGCGTTGTGTGATACATTTAGAATTGTTTTTGTTTTGGCTGGGGGCTGTTTCATTGGCAGGCTGGAGGGGTCCACCCCATCAATTTGAAATGTACTTTTCATCGCCTGCTCAGCTTCGCTTGCCTCATCTTTCATCCCTGCCTACCTCCTCTGTTCTTCAATTCCCTTTCCTACATTTCCAGGCACTTCAATTTCCTTGCTGTTTTTCCACTTCCTCTCATCTCCCCCTGCTGTCTCCCCTGTCTTTCTTTTCTCCCCTCTGTCTCCCCTCGTCTTCTCACCCATAAAGTCTTTATTTGCCCCTTCTTTTCTCGTCTCGTATCTCCTCTCCACTTCTTTCCTCTGTCTTCTCCTTTAATCTCCTCCCTTTTCCTCTTCTCTTCCTCCTTTTCAACTCTATTCGTCATGCCCTTTCTACTTTTTTCCCCCTTCCTCCTCTCTGCTCTTATGTCCTTTCCTCCCTTCAGTTCTGTCTCCTCTCCTGGACTCTCCTCTCCTCATCACCTCCTCTCCTGTCCTCTGCGTTTTCGATGGCTGACTGAAAGCTTTTCTCGCTCTTTTCATCTCCTCACATTTCCTCCCCTCACCGTCTCTCTGTACTCTGTAGATTTCCTCCCTCTGTATTTTGTGTCTTTCCTCACACTTTCATCTTTTTAATTTGATTCCTCATTCCTATGTTGCCTTCCCTCCTCCTCTTCCTCAGTCCTCCCTTCCACTCTACCAATCTGTTGTTTCTTTATTTGTGCAGTCGAGGCCCTGAGCATATTCTAATCTCCCAGTTCCACATTAATGCTTTGCCTCCAGCACCTCCATTACTTGTTCAGCCGTGGCTCACTGTGTGACTGAGTGTGTGAGTGTGTGTGCGTGCGCGTAGCATGAATGTACGCGTGTCAACACGTGCACCCGGATGCAAACCTACCCTTGTTTCCAACTTGTGAGTGTGCACCCTTCATGCGGCTGTCTCACTCTCTCGAGATAAGTGCACTCCTGCCACCTGCTGGTTGATAAGGTAACACACTCAGCTGGACCAAAGTCACGTAGGACACAAGCAGAGCTCTGGATGAGCTCATCTCTACTTTTGTGAGCGTATCAAGTGTACTCCCTCTCCTCCCCCCTCTCCCTTGTTCTGGGATTTGTTATAGGGATGAAGGATAAAAGAGCACCCAGACTTAAATAGCCGGATGATGGCGAAAGCTGCCGAGGATTATTTTCTGTGTTTATTTAATGTGTAGGAATTTTCTTTCTGACATGTTGACAGATAGACCAAGGACGACGGGACGTTACTGTATTTTCACTTTGAGGACAAACAGTATGTGGCGTGAAACTGATTTCTCAGAGAAGTTGGGCTGCTCTGCTCTCTCACTGCTTAGTGCAGGCATGGGCAAACTATGGCCTGTGGGCCGGATGTGGCCCGTTTGGCCTTTGAAATCCAGCTGAACAAACTTGTCCAAGTGATCTTATTGATTTATGTTAGCGTTATACTTCTGCCTTTTCCCTGCAATGCCTGCATTTCCCCGATAGATGGCGTAGAGAAGGCTAAAAGCATTTCAGTCTTTATGCAGGATTTTTACATGTAATGTATCTTTGTTCACACAAATGCTCCATCTATCTGCTCCTGACCCGCCAACCCACGTCAGATTTTAGGACCCATTGTGGCCCGCGAGTCCAAACGTTTCCCCACGCCTGGAGTAGTGAATAAAAATCAACAAAGTGACTGTGTGGCTTTAACAAAAAACCCAGAAGACGTCAGTACACGTTCTGAAAACACGTTAGAAATGCATAAGGCTCTCTATCTCCATCTCTCTATCCTGGTGTCTGCAGCTTCAGCTGATAACAGTCTGTGCAGTTTTTCATTTTTCACATACAGAATGCATTTATTTTCCTAACCAGTTGTGGACATGGACTCATCCTTCCACAGAATATATTTCATCATCATCATCATCATCATGTAGTTCTTTCTATTTCAGATGAGCCTGAAGAACTCGACAGCCTTTCTGCACAAAACTGATTAATGACTTTCTCTTTGCCTGATATAGTATCAAGGTGGCATTGGTTTTGATGCAGTGTTTGGTGGCTTTAGTTTCCTGAGTTTATACACTGCTTTACTTTTTTATTAAATTTTCCTAGCAATTTCACCTGGAACTTTTTGGCTCTCTTGCTCTGGAAAATGTTTTTTTCAAAACAACCGTAATCAAAAGGGGAATCGTCCCAAATGTGTGTTGCAGACGTTAATTTCTCATTTGTTTCTATTTCACATTTCAAACTATGCAAGTGAAATTATTTTAAACCTTTCCTTGTCTTGTGTTTTCCTGTGTCCTCAGACAGCAGAAAGCCTATCTGGCCACACAGGGCCCCCTGGCTGAGACCACCGAGGACTTCTGGAGGATGCTGTGGGAACACAACTCCACCATCATCGTCATGCTCACCAAGCTCCGGGAGATGGGACGGGTAAATCGACCAACACACACACACACACACACACGGTGTCCACACATTAAATGCAGCCTTTCAGCAGCAGGTCATTGGACTCCACGGCTGATAACGATCTTTATGCGAGGATACTGCGGTCGATGCACTCTGCATTATCTGTGGTTAAACATTCGCTGTCCTATCACAGTGGGAGGAGTTCCCACAGACCAGACCTGCTGCTTGTTGACGATGTCGACAGTTGGTGAAATTCCAGACGTGTCACATTCTTCACTTTCCACACTATAGATAGACTACGTCTGGGAATTTATGCAGTTTTATTTTTTATTGTCTTCAGGTTGGCCTTCCTTCACAAGCCTTTAGAAGGTTTCAATTCTTTGACAGTTTTTAGAACTTTACACTGACATTTTTTAACTTCCAATGTAATAAAAGTAAATGGAACAATCAGCAGTGTATCCTAGTAAATACTGTGTGACAGCCTGACTGTTATATATGTTAAATCATCATTAGAAGGAGTTAAATTAAGTTCACTTCACATTTTTACTGTTCAAAAATAAATAGAAACAGGGAAAAAGGTCTCATTTAGCATTTATTAGACAAATATGAAAGTAGTTTATTTCAGCCACTAAATCCATTTTGATCTGCACAAAAGTGATTGACTCATTTTTTTACTCTCTTAAATGAACCGTAATTCCGACTTCTGGCCTTGTAACGGCTGTTAAAATGGGTAAGAAAGTCAAAGAGTGACAATTATTTATTTGTCTCTTCTAACAACTGAAATGATCCTTGTAAATGTTGTTTTAATTTAGGAAAAAGCTGGATGAAAAGCAGTCAAAAAGCTTTTTTATACGCAGCTTAGCTTAAATAGTGGAAGCAGGAAGAAGCAGCTTCCTCTGTCGATGTAGTGACGGCTTCTTTTTACTCCGTGTACTCTGTTAATTGTCTTAATAAAAGCAGTGATACCACAAGAAACAAACAAAACAGACCGTGAGGTTTCAGCTAATGGGTGTTTTTACCAGTGGGCACAGCTTTGCTAACTGTTTCCCTCTGTTTCATGACTAAATCCTGCCTAATACTCGTACAGTAAGGAAAGAAGGAAGGAAACAAATAAAAACATCTCATAAAACTTTTAATTTAAAGAACAAGAGTCAGCGTCTGCATTTGGTAATTAAATTCATAATGTCTTCATCCGTTTTGGTGATTATGAGGTTGTTTCTAAGAGCACTCCGCTGCCTCTTATTGTTGTTGTCACAGAGTTCAGTGGACATCAGTGAAAACAAACAATTTATGGTTAAAACAATTTCAGCGTAGAGCGAAACCAAACACAAACCTAAAAACTTGTTTTCCTCCTGCAGGAGAAGTGTCATCAGTACTGGCCAGCAGAGCGGTCAGCCAGGTACCAGTACTTTGTGGTGGATCCGATGGCCGAGTACAACATGCCACAGTACATCCTGCGAGAGTTTAAAGTCACGGATGCCAGGGTAGGTTGGATTCAGATTCCTGTGCCAGTATCTGCGTGAACGAACTAATTTAACTTCCAATACACTCGGCCCAAATCTGTCCTAATGTTTTGGTTTTAGACACAAATGCTAAGATCAAGAATTATACTAGGGATTAAAAGTTGACAAGATAAGGAGCCATTCTGGGCTGATCCTCCTGACACGCTGACTTTAAATAATGCAGTGCTATCACACGCGTGTGGATCCAGATTTGGTAACAGAACACTCTAAGCCATGTATTTACTGTGTGCTGATTTTTTTTCGGATGTGTGAAAAAGTAGTCTTGTATTATTTTTAAGATTAATGTTGAGCCTCTGATCCTTCAGCTGGAAATTCCAGCCCTGCATTAGTTTCAAACACTTACAGTAGCAGCTCTGTATACATTTAAAAAAGTTCCAATACTGTTGTCTTTGTAATGTAGAGTACACAGAACTTATTGTTAATTGGTAAACACAGGTCATGCAGTTTACCATCTGGCCCGCAGGAGGTGCTGCAAGTACAGTCGGAATACCCTAGTTAATGACATTTAGTTTTTATTTAAAAAATACATTATTATAATTCATTAAAAATACATGTATTTAAAAACATTAAATAGAAAGAAAATACTCTTTGTAATACTAGTGTTCATACACTGGAAATATGTAAGAATTATTAGGGCAAAAACTAAAAGTAGAAAAAAAAAAAAGAAACTCATCCATTGACGACAGATCACAGGACTAAATAGCCTTCAAAACATTCAGCAACCTGAAAGACACAGCTGGAATAAAGTCAAAGGTCTGAAGGTCAAAGACGAAGCAAAATGTCAATGTAATGTTAACCTATATGTTCACGGCCTGCAGGATGGACAGTCCAGAACAATCCGCCAGTTTCAGTTCACTGACTGGCCTGAGCAGGGAGTGCCAAAAACTGGAGAGGGCTTCATTGACTTCATTGGGCAGGTTCACAAAACCAAGGAACAGTTTGGACAGGACGGACCAATCACTGTACACTGCAGGTAAGAAGAGACAATACCTCACTTCAGTCTTCAGGCTCAGAAGTGTTAGATACTCATTGTACACTGTATCTTTAGTCATGTTTAAGTACACAAACTGAGTAATAACATTTACACATACTGCTGTTGTCTTATAATACAAATACTATTTATTTACGTGTCAAAGGATAGCAGATTGTAATGAATTTACGTGTGGTCTCCTTCAGTGCTGGGGTGGGTCGGACCGGAGTCTTCATCACGCTCAGCATTGTGCTGGAGAGGATGAGGTACGAAGGTGTGGTCGACCTCTTTCAGACAGTGAAGACACTTCGTACCCAGCGGCCCGCAATGGTGCAGACTGAGGTGAGAAATACTCACTTAATCTATATATGATATCTATATATACAGATATATGTATATATACATGTATAAATACTCTATTGTAATTCTCTCACCCTCCTCTGCAGGACCAGTACCAGTTGTGCTACAGGGCAGCACTGGAGTACTTAGGGAGTTTTGACCACTATGCAACGTAACTACTTCCTCAGAGCAGCCTACCTGGTCAAACCTCTCAGGAGCGTGCCAAGTGTCCCATCTCAGCCACCATCCACTCACTTGACCCCCTAACATCCCCTCGCAGCAACCACAGTGCAGAGACCCACCGCTGGGTCCACCAATCACAGAGATCAATGCCGAACATGTGAAAATTTTCTTAACAAATTGTGACGGGAATACTGTATTACAATGACTCTGACAGATATGACAACTGTTGTTCAGCTGTACAAACAGATGTTTGAATTTTTTTTTTTCATATCGTTTTTTTGAATTGTCAATATTCTGATTCATTATGTCATTTGTTATTGTTTGGTACATTTGTTAAAGAAAAGTTTTTAATAATTATTTTAACATCTCAGACATTTCTTATGTCTTAATCCGCCCAGTTTGGGTCTTGGCATTTGTTTCATAATTGGTACTTTATTTTTATTATCTTAGGGTACTTTAGCACAAAGGACATGTGTTTTTAACATGTTCTTAGATACTAATACAAGAGGACCACTGTTCTCTGAGCTGCTGTCAGATTTATGTTTTCATAATGACTTCTGTGGTTTGTTCTTATTATGTGTCATATGTTGTTTTCGGTCTTATTCAGTTTAACGCATCGCTTTAAAATTTGCCTTTGTTTTGGCCTAAAACAGTCAGTGTCAGAGTAATCTAATCCAGAGCACACACACTTGATAAAAGTTGTAAACATGGTAGCTAGCTACAAAACGCGCAACAGAGCTAACATGAGACTAAACAACAGTACACACCTGTGGGAAGCACATTATCTCTTTGTTATTTTTTGTTTGGTGTTTGTTAGTTTTTCATCAGCCTGTGGCAGTGAGGCCTTCATACTCCAGAGTGGAGAACTAACCTGAGGAAAACAGACTTTAATATCCAAAGGTTAATGACACAGGAAGAAAAAAAAGAAAAAACCTCCCCGATCTCTGAAACAAAACAAAAGCTCTTCAAGTCAAACTCACCTCCTCGCTGCCCATCGGTGTGGTCACGTGACCGGAGTTATAGCCCACACTGAGCGGCGCGGGCGGGTGTCGTGACGGCTGAGGAGAAGAGCCATCAACGCTGGCACCTGTACAGAATCAACCATTCCTACCAGAGGGACAGAGACTCAGCCCTGTGAACTGAAACCTGATATGATTATTTTCTACAGATACAGAACTATAAATAAATATATATATATATAATTATTATTGATTATATATATGTACAATTACACGAGGATATAAACACGGCTTCAAAAGTATATTGTTTAAAGGAGTAAATCTGATGTACCAACACTAGAGGCAGCAGAGAGCCTGCCGTCCTAGGGTGTGTAATAATGGACGCACCATTGTATCTACTGTAAACCATAGTAACTTTGACAGCTGCTCGTCCATCTGCAGGAGCAAGAATAACAGCACAACGACCGCCCCTCGCCGCCAAACCTGCCCTGCCCCACCGCGCCCTATCGTACAAACTGGACGACTCCTCAGCACAGGCTGTGGCACGACTTAAGCACACGCGTGTTCTCCGACACGGGCAGCAGAAGGCAGCGTCTGATCTGAAAGGCCTACATGTGGGTGAAGGTGGTGGCGACAGAGGAGGAGAAGGAGGGGGGGCTTGAAAAACGCTGGCAGAAAAAAAATTCAAACAAAGTTCATTTTTATCTTGTGAATGCTTAGTGCTGTAGGGGTTCGATTTGTTGTACACACACAGTCTGTTTTCTATTTGTTGATAAAGAACTGGAATAATAAAAAAAAGCTGTTGATGAAAAGGAAAAAATCACATTGATGTTAATAAAGTTAAATAATTTGGTTTTTGTATGAAAACTGCCTGCTGTGGTTTTGTCTTAAGAAACTTCTGAGGGGAATGTGTTGATATTTACTAAGTAGTGGCACAAAGCAAATGAGTGGTTTGCTTAAGTAGATTCTAGTGGTTAAATGCTTTTTATTTTTTTGTGAAGGTAAGGTTAAATATACACACACACTGTCACTCACATAACAGATGTCAAGCCAGCCACCCACACCCACAAATGTGCATTTTTGTGCAGACACATCATCCAGTTTCACTTTACGTTTTTCAATTTTTCCACTTAAAGGAATTTTTAAAATAACAAAAAAGGGACTAATAAATAAGAATGGCCAAAAAATAGCTTAAATGTAATGAATGGTCAAGTAATAATAATAATTTAAAAAACCAAAATATACTTTAAATGTTCTTTTGTACATTAGGTTGTATGCACGATTCGCCCTCAGGTGGCTCAAACGTGCAACTGCCAATATAAAACAATTTCCCACCAGAACGTTGATGGGTGTAATTGCTGCCTTTTGCCAGCAGAGGGCCACACGTGCATTTAAATTTCCCTTTCCCTGCTCATTTAAGGTACTCGCCACCTGGTGACGGAAAATCAGAACGCACTTCGTTTAAATACTCGCTTTGTAGCCAAAAATAGTTTTTTTTAACAAAGTTACTAAAACGTTGATACATGTGAAAAAGTTGCATGAATTTATATCGTTATTTTATTTTCTTAAATTCGCTTTTCTTCTGTCGAAAGATATCTATTTTCTTCATGTTTCACAAGGGCAGTTTGGCGTAGGAACACATTTTATGATGAAATCTTGTCTGGTGATGCGGTCGGTTGTTCGGTGTAGCTCCGCCAACAACAAGATCCATGACTCAAAGGTGCAACTGCTAATATGAACAAGTTCCTTCCAAAAGGTTGTTTGCTGTGTGTCGTTGTATATTTGAGCCACAGGAGGGCGCATGACAATAATGTAGTCGCGGGAAAACCCCTAGAATATCCAGAGAAGAAGACACAGAGTTTCCCTGGAATATCCAGGGAAACCCCGTGTCTTCTACGTCAGCGTCATTTGACGGGCACTACGTAGATGTGAAGTCTTTTGCCAATAAAAGAGTAAAACGTTGTTGTTATTGTGTTTATTGTGGAAGTATTCTACAACTTTGTAAGGTTTGTGGTTGGTTTTTAATTTAGTTTCAGCTTACGTTTTACTACTTTTTACCTAAATAAAAAAACTTAATAAAATAAAAAAACTAAAGTAAAAAAACAGTAAGAAAATAAAAAAATATTTTTTTAAATAAATTAAATAAAAAAAATTAATGGTATTGCTAATAAGCAGAAATATATCAGGATAAAGCTATAGGAAGGAACAGAAATATGTATTGATCCATCATAACTCATTTTAAGTTGGAAGCGAAACCGAAATGAACGATTTTAAATAGTTATACAGCAAATAAATCAAAGAAACCCTATATCAACCTGGCAGTCATTGTACTTAATATCCCTTTTTAATAAATAATTGTGCATTAACATTCTATTGTCTGAAAAAAGTCAATAGTACTAGGCAAAAATTGGTTTCATTTAAATCAAAGATTAAAT